CACAAACAAATCCCCGTCCGGTCTCAACAAATCCTAAATCCAGCTAGTACAATCCAGGGTGAATCTACCTCGCGAGTGGGACCTACCACTCGACTTCTACCGTCCGCTAGCCACTAAGCCTAGCAAGTTCTAACGTAACCTAGACCACAGCTACAAAAATAGGACACAAGGTAGGATATAGAAGGGTAATCCTGATGCATTTCTAAGGTTTCACATCAACTCCTAATAGACCTAATGCACAAACATTGACTAGCCCCAATCAAGTGCGAAAATAAAATCCTAAATAGGGAAGCATGCACCGGGGCTTGCCTGGCTCAGGAGCGTAGCTAACAGGGTCAGCGGGGTCAGTGTCCTGCTGCGGCTGCTCCTCCTGCACCTCCTGGGTCTGCTCCTCCGGCAGCTGGAAGTCGAAGCGGCTCCGGAGTCGTCTCTGTCACATACACGTTATGACAAGGAACATAATGCAAAGTTAGATGCAAGATATTGATGCAATTCATGATTAATTACTTGATAGGACAGTCATTTACACTGTAAGTGCAAATGATTAACTTTGTTAATTAATTTCGTCTGGAGTATTTCCTTCATTAACTTTTAATTAAGTTTACCATTAATCAACTAGGCAAGTTAAATAAATAATGTGATTTCGAAAGTTGATTTATGTCCAGTGGCATTTTTCTGGTGAAGAGTGCCACTGGAAGTAATTTATGGTGAAGTTTCATGATTTATTGCAAAGTAGATTATTTATAATAATTTATACAGTGCAGAACATGATTTAAATCATAAGAAATAATTAGGCAACATGTGACAGTGGAAAAATGCTCTGTAGGTGTGTTATCAGATTCTTAACAGGCATGCAAGAGTTCAGGATTTATTGGGCAACATATAATTTATAATAAATTAAACAAGATCTGGACAGATGTATTTTCCAGAAAATACACAATCTGCAAAAGTGCGTTTTGGTATTTTTCATGGACAGAGGGTGTTACATGGATTCCAAGGAAATTGGATTTGTATTTTTCTGAGATGTATTCATTTTTCTATCGATTTTACAAATTTCTGTGAATTTCTGGAGATTTAAAGAATTCGATAAAAGAATAAAGATTGGGCCAGCCAATCAGATCTGGGCCACAAACTGGGCCGCAGAGTCGAGGCCGCACTGGATCTGGGCTGGCCACACCAGATCCAGCCACTCGCGTGCGAAGGCACACGGTGGACCATTGGGTCAAGCACACCGGATCCCGTGTGGCCACACGAGATCATGTCCGTGTGGTCACCGGTGTGGTGACCGTCGTTGCGCCGGAGCGCGGCGGCGGAGCTCGCCGGAGGGAGCTCCGGTGGCTCGCGGGGCTGGCCGACAGCGCGGAAATAGAGAGGGAAGGGCGGGGGCTTCACCTTGACGAGTTGGAGAGGGTGGCGACGGCCGGAGGGTGCTCGGCGGCGAGGGAGGCGGCTTAGTGCAACTCCGGCGACGGTGTGGGGGCGCTGCGATCGACGAGAGGCTCCCCGGTTTGGTCCTACAGCTTCACCGCAGTTCGGGGAAGCCCGTCGACCAACACGTTGTCGTGGAGACGGCCCGGAGGAGTGGTTTCACCGGAGAGGTAGGCGACGGTGAGGTTGACCGGCGGCGGGGAAAAACTGGCTTCCGGTGGCTACACAGCGGCAAGGAGGAAGTGGTAAGCAATAGGGGGTGCGCAAGCTTGACGTGCACCCGCAGGCGCGAGGAATCGGCCAGAGACTCACCGGAGATGGGGTAATCGACGGCGAGGTTGGAGTGGCACGCGCGCCCGGACTCGGAGAAGAAAGGTTCGATTCTCCCTCTTCACGTCGGGAAGAGAGGAACTGGCTTCATGGTGAGCTCAACCGTGTCGCAGCGTACTCCTTCGCAAGGAAGCTTGGCTCGGAAGAGCCTCGCGGCGACGGAGCAGCGGCGGGGTGAAGCTCGGCTCGGCGATGGAGAGGGTGGCTAGGGTTTGGGTGCCCGGGAATGAAGGAAATGAACGAGGGAGAGGAACCGGAGTGGAGCGGGGCCTCTTTTGACGCCGTCCGCGGCCGAGGAGCGGGCCAGGGCGCCGCGGAGAGGCGCCGTACGCCGTCGGCGACGTGGAGCAAAAGCTCCGACGTCCTCAGTGAGACAACGGCCACTGACATGCGGGCCCGTCGGCATCTTTTCTTTTTCCCGAATTAATTCAAACTGAATTTTCCCCAATCTTTGGCGCTCGATTTGAACTAGCAAATGAACTCCAAAAATTGTGAAACCAGTTGCATTCGAAAGATCAGGAAATTATCTTTCCAGTGACATAACATGCACATCTCAATTCGAAATAGAATTCAAATGGCAGCTAGTCAAAGTTGGACGTTTTTGGAACTTTGGGGATTTATTTGAGCATCGAAATGAATTTCAAAAATCACCAAAAATTCTCCAAAATTCTATTTTGAGTAGGGCTATCCACTGGTATTTTTGTTTGTTCATGTTGTTAGGGAAAATTTTGAGTTCCTTCAGAGGCATGGTTCGAACATAGTTTGAAATTTGAATTTCAAAATTTGAACTTTTGTTTCTGCCACTTGGGAAGGTGTGTGCTGTTGGTTCCAGTGACATGGGATGTCACAGCCCTCCCCCCTTAAAAGAATCTCGTCCCGAGATTAAGGAGAAAGAGAGGAAAAACGAATGGCGAAAAGCGACGAACAGATGCAAAAATATGGAACAATTAAATAACGCACCTCGGAGGTAGAAAACCGGGAAAATGGGAGTTCAAAAACTCCGCTGTCTCCCAGGTGGCCTCGGCCTCAGAGTGGTTGCTCCATTGCACCTTGTAGAATCTGGTGGTGCTCTTCCTAGTGACTCGGTCCTTCTGATCAACAATACCAATAGGCTGCTCGGGGTATGTCAAATCTGGCTCAAGCTGCTCAACACCACTGACCACTCTGTCACTAGGAACCTTCAAGCACTTCTTCAGCTGCGATACGTGGAACACATTGTGAACACTGGAGAGGTTGGAGGGCAACTCCAATCTATAAGCAACGGGTCCACATCTCTCAATAATCTGGAACAGTCCAACGTATCTTGGTGCTAACTTTCCCCTGACACCAAACCGTCGTACACCCTTCATGGGAGAGACACGAAGGTATACGTGGTCGCCAACTGCAAACACCAACGGTCGGCGTCTTCTATCAGCATAGCTCTTCTGTCGAGACTTGGCTGCTCTCAAGTTGGACTGAATGCGGCGAACAGTCTCCTCTGCTGCTGCCACTAAATCTGGTGTG